GTCTCGGTGCCGTTGTTCCGCGGTGACAGGATTGACTTGCTGCGCGCTGCAGGTTGCCCATCCCGGGGGGGGGGGGCGCGCGAATCGCCGGGGGCGCCCGCAACCTCGGCTTCGCCCTGGGCCCCGAACGGGGCCACGAGGCCCACGACAAAGCCTTGGCGAAGGTCCTCGATCGCGCAAGCAGGTGGGGCGCTGCCGGCGGGGGGTTGTTTTTGACGACGCTGGCTTGCGCCGCGTGCATCACTTCCGTGCTGGGCTTCCCGATGCAGTTGGATGCCTTGCCCCCGCGCTGGGCGCGCCGGTCAGTGAGCGTGCCCCGACGACCTCCGCCAATTGCGCGCGCTGGGATTCCCGCGCGGCCTCGACGGTCTTCATGTTCGTTGCCGCGTGGCGCAGCTTCGCGTGGCCACCATGGGGAACGGCGCAGCAAGAGGTCCGCGCGCAGCCCCGCGCGCCGATGCCTTCCGCGCCCGCCGCGACACGGACAACCCGATGATCATTGTAGCGTGGGTGGGGTGGTTCGATTGGCCATTCTTGCTACAACTGGATAATCATATCCAGCAATGCCGCGTGGGCGGCGTCGCGGCAGGCAGGTTTGAACGGCGGCCCCTGGGGGCAGAGTCCACCCGCCCCCCGCCGAAGCGCCTCGATCGGCGCGTCGGCGCGTCTGGCGGAGATGTCAGCGGGCCGCGACGGAGCTGCTTGCCACCGGGGGCGCGGCGGCCCTGGAAACGCGGCTGCGGCGCAAGCTGGACCGGCGGCACATCCCGCAGTACACGCGAGTCCGCGTGGCAAGATACATGCGTTTATTGGCCGCCCTTGGACAACGGGCCCCACCGCGGGCATGGGCAGCCACGTGGCGGGCGCTCTGGAGCGGGTGGCCCACGGCCCGCCGGACCCAGGGCCGCCTTGGCTTGCCAGGGCGCATGTTCGACTGCTCGCCCAGCGCAGAGGACAGCGTCGAGCATTGCGCCAACTGCCAGGTCGGCCATTCGATCATCGCGAGGGGGCTCGGCCTGCAACGCCCCGACCGCCCGGCAGACCGGCCGGCAAGTTTCCTGAGTTTTGATCTCGGGCCGAGATCGGATGATTCGGCTGTCGTGCCACGCGGCATCGGGTTCGCGGCCACGCACCGCGCGCGTTGCCACTGCCGGCGCGGGGTGCTGAGGAGAGGGCACGCCGCGAGGGAGGCGCTGCCGCAGGCCTGCCGCGCGGTTGTCAGGGGCCACCGTCGCGCGGGCACCGCGTGCGACGAGGCGCAGGCGCGGTGGCGGTGCTGAGTCGTTGAGGCCTCCCTTTGCGCTCCCGGTTCCCTCTTTGCCTCCTCCTCGCTCCTCCTCTTTCCCGTGGCACGCGAATGGTTTCGCGTCCTGGCAGGGCGGAGGAATGGCCTCGCGGCCCCGCGGGCGCCGCCCCGCCGCCGGGCGCTTCGAGTGAGCGAGCGTTCGCCTCCCATCCTTCCTCGTCGTCCTTGTCGTTCTCCGCCTCCCTCTTCCGCCTCCCCCCCCTCCTCCTCATCTCCTCTCTTGCCTCCTCTTCTCTCGGGCGGCAGATTCCCAGCCCGTCGATTTTGGACCCCTTGTGGGCCGTTTGCTGTCCCAGCCGCGTGGCCGATGGCGTTCCAGCATGGGCTGGCGCGGAGCAGAACATGGTTCAAACTTGTACCGGGTCCGCCTGGAATATTCCTCCTTCTTCGTCTCTTTCCTTCCGGTCTCGCCTCCGGAGGCGGAGCTCCGGCTAGCTCCGCCGGGGTGGGCCGACTCTTCGCCTCCTCTGCCTGTCTCCTCTTCGCCCCCCCCGCGCACGTCGTCTCACTCGGCTGTTGGCAGTGGCCGGCCTGGTTGGAGATAGGTTACACGACGCTCTGCAGGAACGCCCCTCCTCCCCTCCTCCCTCCCCCTCCTCTTTCCCGCCCCCCCCCCCCAATTGGTAGCTTCGATGTTGCTGTCTGCGCGGGCATTGCGCGGTGGTGCCTGCGGCCGCTGCTGGCCGACCCTGGGACGCTTTCGCCGCCCAGGCTTGCCTTTGTGAGCCGTTGCGGAGGATCGTCGTGCTTGCCGGGCACCGCAGTGCCCGCCTCCAGTTTCAGCTCACATATTTGGCGGGTGCGTGCGCCCAAATTTTTGATGTCCCTCTTCGCGCCTCGTGTCTGGAATTCGGGGAATGTTCCAGCCTTGTGCCATACACTGTGCAGGGAGGCGGCTCATTGATTGGTGTTGGGTGATGCGCGGTTATATGAATGGTCGTTCGGATCATGGGGAACTGCATGCAGAACGCTCTAATGCTTCCCCCCTCCTCCCCTTTGTTCCCTTCTCGTCCTCCCCTCTTCCTTTCCCTGTAGCTGTCACTGCTTATCTGGAATAGGGGGTTCCTGAGCGTGGCCCAGTGTCGGCGCTGTCGCGTATCACCTCCGTTTTGCCGGTGGCGCTTCCGTGGAGTGGCCCAGGTACCCTTTTTGGAGGACATGCAAATTCTAGACGCGTCGCGTATCCCCACCAGCCCGTCCAGAAACGACGCCCAGGCGAGTAGAGGGTCGTCCTGAGGGGTTTTTCGGCGTCTTGGGTGCCTCGGGGGGGCCTCTGTGGGCCGTTCGGGATCCTCTTTGGGGCCTCCTGGGGGCCTCTTGGGGCCTCTTGGGGCCATCTTGGGGCCTTTGGGAGCACCTTGGGTGCCTCTGGGGGGTATATTGGAGCCTCTTGGGGGTCTCTTGGGGGCCTCCTGGGGGCCTCTTGGGGGGCCTCTTGGGGTCATCTTGGGGCCATCCTGCGGCCTCTTGGGGCATCCTGGGGGCCTCTTGCGGCCATCGTGGAGGAAATCGATCAAAGAAGAGGGGTTCCTTAATTAGAGCCCCCCCCCAGGAGCCACGATCCTCGTGAGGGGTGTCGAACTTTAGCCTTCCCAGGAGTCGATCTTGGGCGCTCCAGCGCGCCGCGGAACCCCCTGTCCAGGTCAGCGGGGAGGGGGTAGGGGGAGGGGTAAACCCCTCCCCGAAGGGGAAGAAGGAGGGGTGGAAGAGGAAACGCTCTAAACCACCGACGCCCAGAGGGCTGGTGGGATTTCGGTGTTCATTTTCTTTTATTTGCCTTTTGTCACTCTCGATTTCTGCCGCTATAGAGACTCGCAGCCGTACGATGGGAATTGTGATAGCCCCCTTGAGGGGAAGCGAATCGAATACGGCATCGGAGCAGGGCCTGAGATCGGTGGGTGCTCTGGGGCTAAAAAAATAGTTTTGCACTCCCACCTGTTTTGTTGGATTGGCATCCTTGACGCCCCATTTGGGCTCGGTGCTCTGTTCAGCCTCGTGATGGCCGGTCGCGTGCTGAGGTCCTATCGAGGCTCGCCGCCTAATTTTTTGTCTCGGGTTCGAGTTTGGCGTTTACATGTTCGGCTGTACTTTGCAGCCCCGTCTCGCCTCTCTCCTCCTTTTCCTCCTCCTCTTCTTTTTTCCTCTCGCCCGTTTCTGGTTTTTTGATTGTTCTGGAAGACTCGTTTCTGGAAGACTCGTGATATGCAGGGCCATTTTGGCCGAGGCTTCGGAGTGGTTCTAGGGGGTTCCCGCGCGCCGCGGTCGTGCGCTTGAGTGCGCGCGCGGGTGGTCCATTCGCGCGTCTTTCCTTTTGGAAGTTTGTCGCCCTTCCTTTTCCTTCGCCTCCTCACTCTTCTTCTTCTCCTTGGCAATTGCGTCGCATGATGGAGTCTCCTTTCTCTTAGTGGGAAAGCAGGCATTTTCATCATCCCTGCATGTCTTTTTTTGGGGGGGGGAAATAAGGGGCGGGGCGTTCTAAACGGTCGTCAACTTTTCAGACGAATGTGCGCTGTGCTACGGCGATAGTTTTTTTGAAAACAACCCGTCTCCGCCAGTGAAACTCATACACGTTTCATGACGAATGTGCGCCGCGCTAAGTCGATAAACACATTTTGAAAACAACCCGCCGTCAACCCGTAAAGCATGTGCCAATGTTTTAGACGATTGGGCGCGGCGTTGAGGCGAAAACCACATGTTGAAAACGATTCGCCTTCCATCTGTGAAGATCTTCCATCAAACGTTTGAAACGAATGCGCGCGACGCTAACGCGAGAGCCCCATTTTGAAGAGGAGCCGCCCATCATCCGTGAAGTTCTTGTGTTTTTCAAATGAATGTGCGTAGCGCTAGGGCGAGAGCCACATTTTGAAAACCACCATCCTTCCATCCGTGAGTGTTTGCAAACGTGTACCTGCTTTAAGGCGAAATCTGTATGTTTTTAAGAAAAACACACACAAAAAAACACCTCCACCCGTGAAACTCTGGCACAATTTGATTTAACGAACGCGCGCAGCGCTAAGGCGAGGGACGCCTTTTGAAGACGACCCGCCCTCCATCCGAAGAGTTGTTTCAGGACGACTGTGCGCGGCGCCGAGGCGGGAACCGTAATTTGAAAACGAACCGCCACACACTCGTGAAAGTCGGGGGTGGACAAACCTCCTACCCTGACACGTCGATTAGCGAATTGGCCGTTTTCGTTTCGCGAGAGGGCGTCGCGGCCGTCATTTTTGCGGGTCCAGGTCCGCCGGTTTCGGTCCCAGGCCGTTTTCTCTCAAGGAAGGTTTGCTAAAGGGAGGTTTGTCCATCGCCGAGAAACCTTTTCAAACTTTAAGACGAGTGTGCGCTGCGCTGGGGCGAGCGCCAGATGCTGAAAAGGAGCAGCCATCCGTGAAGCTCTGGCAAGCTGCAGGGGCGAGGGTGCGCGGCGCCAGGGCGATCACCGTGCCCGCGTCGACGACGGAAGGAGGAGGATACGGAGGGAGAGAGCGAGGGAGGGAGGGAGGGAGAGACCCGCGCGGGTGCCCCGAGGCCGAGGGGAGGGAGGCGCGTGGAGGGCGGGAGCGAGGAGAGGGGCAGCGCGGAGCGAGGAGGCGGCGCCTGCGGCCCGGCCCGCGCTCCCCCGCGCCCGAGCCCCGTGGGCGATGCCACCCTGGCGCGGCCCGTGGGCGTCCCCGTCGCGCCCGGGCCTCCCGGGGCCATGCCGGACCAGGAGGCGGGCCCGAGTTTGAGGGAGCAGTTCCCGGCGCGGTCGCAACGGGTCCGTTCGTCGGGGGTCCCCAAACGTCGGGGGCGGAAAAGAGGGGGGTGATGATTAGGGGGGGGTGGATATCATGGCGGGGGCCATGATGTTTCCCCGGATTTCATGGCGCCTCTTCTTATTTCATTACGTTCCTGGCCCCCCCGCTGGGCCGCGCACATGCCGCCGGTCATGATTTGCACCCCCCCTTGGACGCCCCCCTCTTGGCCGCTCCCGACAGGAGGCGGGCCCGAGTTTGAGGGAGCAGTTCCCGGCGCGGTCGCAATGGGTCCGTTCGTCGGGGGTTCCCAAGCGGGGTGGTGACCACACCGTGCGGTGAGTCTGTGGGGATTCGGGGTCACCGCACGGTTTGGGGGCTCGGGTCGTTCTCCGAGGACGTCTCGGGCGACAGGGGCCTCCGGGGTCCCAAGACCGTGCGGTGACGGACCGTGCGGTGAGGTCTTGGGGGATTTCGAGGTCACCGCACGGTCCGTCACCGCACCGTTTCGGGACGCCAAAGTTCGGTGGCGAATAATGGGAGCTTGGTATGCCCTCGCAATTCCGCTTTTGGCGTCGGTTAGCGTCGGTTAGTGTCGATTAGCATCGATTTAGTTTCGATTAGCGTAGATTTAGCGTCGACCAGCGTCGATTCGCAAGAGCCGACAATGTGGTATGGGAGGCTCCCATGAGTTGCCACCGAAGGTCCGAGGGAGCAAGTCAGGGAAGCAGGTCCTGGTCCCGCAGGTCTGTTACAGTTTTCGGGCCCTTGGGGCCCTCCGCCGGCTCCAGGGCCGTTGAGAACAAACTCAGGATGAAGAGCTGGTCCTGGGGAAAGTCCCATGGTTTTACGGACACCGAAGGGAGAAACATGATGACCATGACCAAATTGTCGGGGGATCTTGTCCATGCAGATCTCGGGCATGGTCCACGCTGGCCGTCGCCGATTCGCGAGGATGATCCGCGAACTGACGATGACCAAGGTAGGCGGTGGCCAAGATCGGCACCGACGTTGCCGCGTCCAGTCTTGGTCATGGTCATCGTCAGGAGGGAAAAAACACACAGACGCAATTAATCGTCGATTCCCCAGAAAATTTTGGAAAATATGGGAAGTGGGGGGGAAGGCAAAAACCCTAAAAAATACGGGAAAGCACGGGGAATCCTGTTATTTGTGTCTGTTTGTCCCAGGGCCCCTTCATCATCGCTTCCTTCCAGGGTTAAGTCGGGCCCATCCCTCTACAGGGGGGGAACATTCAAAAATAGTAAAAAATAGTCAGGGGACGATTGTTTTACCATTTGTTTTGGAGCATCTTTGGAGTATGTTGGGGGTATTTGAAATTTGTCGTCCAAGATCGGCCTGTAGGGGGAACAGGCCCGAAGTAACTCCAGGGAAGAGCGGGGACGAAGGCCAGCGGCAGTCCCTGCCCAGCCTGACCAGGGCTCGCCGTCGGTGTCGCCCTGGGCGTTGTCCACCTTCAAGGGCATAAAAAACCCTACTCTGGTTTACGAGGCGCTGTGCGCTGAAACTCATGTGGGCTGACAGGGTAAACCCTGCGTGATGTGCCGCGTCCTGCCGGCTCTAGGCTTTGGGGGTTCCCAGGAGGTTTACAGACCACCCACTTGTAACCCAGGGAAGGGTAGTTTTTCCATCCCTCAACACCTGAGGCAGAGGGTCGCTTCTGAACACAGCACTTGCTTTAAGTCGGGCCCGTCCCTCTACAGGGGGAATATTCCAAAATAGTCAAAAAATAGTCAGGGAGACTTTTTGTTGAGTATGTTTGGGCATCTTTTGAATATTCTTGAGTAATGTTGATGTTTCGTCCAAAATCCCCTGTAGGGGGGGCAGGCCCGACTTAACACTTGCTGTTGGGCATCGCATCCATTTTTCTCGGGGGTGGACAGACCTCCCACCCCGACACGTCGATTAGTGAATTGCCCGTGTTCGATTTTCGAGAGGGCGCCGCGGCCGTCAATTTCCAGGCTTGCGCCCGCCAGATTTGGGCCCGAGGTCGTTTTCACTAAACCACGTTTTACTAAAGGGGGTTCTGTCCAACCCTGATTTTCCCAATGGTCATCAATTTCTAACGTGCCAAGGTTCGAGCGGGATGGCTTCCTGCACCTCAAGGGCTTCTGCTCCAAGGCAGGACCCATCCTCCTCTCGCCTCCTCGCGCTCCATTTCAGCCAGTGACAGGAAGGCTTCTACCACACCATAAGCCTTGAGGATCTGGCCTATTGTCGGCCCGCTGAAATATCCTGACCCTCTCGGCAAACTGTCACAGTATACAGTAGTTCTATGACGGGCGCCTCGACCCTGAAGATGTTCTTGGAGGCACTCTCGAGTCCATAGCGTACCTGACAATCTTCGTTCCTCATAAGTTTTTCTTACTCCTCCTCTTCCTGGGCACAGCCTGGTGCGCTACAGGGTCTATAGCACCTCAGCCCTAGAGAGACGACGCGGCTCGGGGCGCACCTTGCGACCGCCATCAGCCACGCCCCGCGGACGACGGACCGAGGGGCACCACAGGCTCGACGCGAGCCTGCACGGGAGCGCTATGGGCCTTGCCATCGTGGGGCGGGGAAGCCCGCCGCCCCGCGACCCACTGGAGAGCCAGGGGCCGCAAACTCTTGGTGGGGCCAGATAGAGAGAGAGAGAGAGAGAGAGAGAGAGAGAAAAAAAAAAAAAAAAAAAAACACGGAAAGCAGAGATGAGAAACGAAACAGAAGAGGTGCCAGGCTCACCACGTGGAGCTCCAGGAGCTCCACCAACCCGCCGATGGCGGGCGGCCCCCATGCATCCCTGGTTCTTCCTGCACCAGGGGACACAGGTTACCCCACGTCACCATGCGGGGCACACAGCGCGTGTTACCGTGCATGGGTAATTTGGCCCGCCCCCTACAGGCCCCCTTGCCCAAGGGGGGCCAAACGGTACACGTCTTGAGCCGTATTCTCCACGAGAGTCGACCTTCCTGCCACACCCGACACCCCGACGTCAGGGGCGGGCCCCAATTGTGGCCAGAGCCAGCCCCCCGCACAGGTTGGTACCACGCAGGCCGACGCAGATTGGAGAACCAGTCCGCGCCAGCCCTGGGGGATTACCCGCGCGGCAAGAGAACGTCGGGTCCGTGGGGGGCCTGAGGCGGCAGACCGACTCCGCACGGGGACCATTTGGCAGAGTCGGGGGGCCGCCCCAGGTCCGCCAGGGCACCAACGCCCCTGGGCCGCGGCGCCGCAAGCGACGTATTGACGGATGTCAGTTCCCCCAGGGGCTCCGATGCGACGCCCACGCATCGAGGTCGCGCTTTGGGGGCATCTCCTCCTCCTCCTCCTCCTCTTCCTCCTCCTCCTCCTCCTCCTCCTCCTCCTCCTCCTCCTCCTCTTCCTCCTCCTCATATTCCCCCCCGTCCTCCTCCTCCTCCTCCTCCTCTCCTCCTCCCTCCTCCTCCTCCTCCCTCCTCCTCATATTCCCCCCCCTCCTCCTCCTCCTCCTCCTCCTCCTCCTCCTCCTCCTCCTCCTCCTCCTCCTCCTTCTTAGCCGTCTCAGGCCCAAGGGCCTTGCGACAACGAACTTTGAGACGGCACACTGCTGTCGCGAGCTTGGCTCGGCTCCCACCACGGCTCTGCCGTCGCTTCTCGCTGACACGGGGCGGCAATGTCTGTTCCTTGGTGGGAATCAGTGGAGTGGAATCGTGGCGCGGGCAAAGGCGGCTGGGCAGCTTACGATGAAGTCGAAGGTAACCCTCGGCCGTGGCATCGACGCCGCCCCCCTTCACGCCAGCCTGCGGAGAAGAACTAGACATGCGCACTATGCGGGTGTAAGAAGAACCTACAGAGCTGGGAATTGTGCAAACATTGCAGAAAGACAAGAACGGATGCTCCTACTACCGATGTGTCTAAATTATTGGATCCTGCTCTTGGTCGTCGCAGCAGGCGGGCTTCTCGTGGAGCTGAAGCCTCGCATTTGCATTCAGACCTCGCCTTGCAGGACAAACCCACCGTCTCCGAGACCGACCTTGAGCAGTTCACCGAGTTGTCCGGGAAGGCAGGAGATAGTGGCACATCGGCAAAGTACCAGAAGCAGCTCGATGATTTACGAAAATGACATAATCAGCCACCTCTCCAAACGCGAATGTCCAACTGCCACCAGCGAGTTTTTGCAGTTGGAGAGTACCCTGGAAGCAGAGCTGGCTAAGCTCGACATGTATGCGAACTGGTACAGGACGCAGCAAGTGGCAGTGCAGGAGATATCTGAACGTCTTAACCTTGCTGACAGGGGGTACCAATCAATGGTCAAGGAGCTCGCAAAACCAGCAGTTCCTGAACCCGTCACCGAGAAGATCAACATCAAGGACGTGGTGGGCGAATCTAAGGATTTGGCTTCGCTTATTGGTGTGGGCACTTTTTCATGTCGATGATGAGGAGCTCGAGCTGTCTCAAGATGAAAGTCAAAATCGAATCACGGAAAGCTGAGCTACAAACCAAGATTCAATAAGTTGCAGAAGGTCTCGAAGGAGCTGCCCAGCAGATGCAGTCAATCAAGGACGAGCACGCCAAACATGTTCAAAGGCTGGGCAAAAAGTGGAAAAGGACCTGATGGTGGAGCAGTTCACGATCGAGAGCGATCCGCTGGCGCTGCCGCATCAGGGGGGGGGGGGCAAGAAAGTCTCGTTCGCACGGACTCCCAGGGCATCGAGCGCACCAGCAGCGGGCAGCACGTCGTCGGCCGACCTTCGTGAGCGTGCTCGCGTTGCTAGCTGCGCTGTCCTCGGCGCTGGGGCTAAATCTGAGGCCAAAGACGCGTGTTAGCTCCCCCCTATCGGGTCGCGTGACCTGGTGGGGGGGGGGGGGGGGGCGTGCATGATTTTCTAGGCTCAGGCCCCATGGTGTGGCGTGACCATCTGCGGGGCCGATTAGACGCCTCGCTGGCCCTATCCCCTGGCCGCTATTTTAATGTTTTGGGCGGTGCCCTGGGCCGACCCAGTGGTTTTGGTGGATCTGCCCCTGCCCCAGGACCTGGCCCCAGGCACTCCGATAAGGCCTTCGGGGGCCCGCCCGTGGCGCTCATTCCCTTCAACTTTTTAGAGGCCCCCCCGACCCTGGAGATGCTCCTGACTCCTTGGTTGTGGAAGCTGTGAACAGCACGTCTTGGAGGTCATTCCAACGATGGTTGCCGCGCATTGGGCTAATACTATACTATTACAGGAACATCACCTTCGAGCGGGTGATGAGTTAGACGGTGCTACTTCATCGCCCCCGTGACTCATCCCTCAACCCCCCAACCCCCCGGCCGGATTTTTTTCTTCTTTCCGCGGGGGGTCAACCTTCGCGGCGACCCGTTAAACCCGGGACCCCTGGCGGCGCATGGATTTCTTTCCTTCTTCCCCGCGCGCGTTGCCGTTGGAACCCCTGAACCCCTCCGACTACCGTACAACTCGTACTTGAGTACAACTGGCACCCCTGAACCCCTGAACCCCTGGCAATATATAAGCCCGAACCCGAACCCAAACTTCACCGGCTGTAATTCAGTTGTTCCCGTACTAATACAAATCCCTAGTGCAACCGCGATTAAGGTGTTGTTGCATTGCCTTTACAGTCTCGGCTCTCACGCTTTTCTTCCTCTGGTTGCGCTTGGGGGGGTGGGGCCCCTCGCGCGGGCACCCCCGCGGCTGGGAGTTCATTCCTCTTCCGGAATTTGAGGGGGGGGTAACCCCCGTGCTCGAACCCCATCGCCAGGGTTTTTTTCTTTCCTCCGCGGAAACCGGACCCCCTGGGTTCTTCGGCGCGCCCCATTTTTTTTTTCTTTCCGGTTGGGCCTCCATGGGTCTTAGGTTGGAGTCGCCCGGGTGATGCTACTTCCTGTGCCCAGGCGCACGGGTGGCAAGCCCTTCTTGCTCCCTCCATCTCCCTCCCCACCGGTGGAACTTCTGGTGGGGGTGGGTATCCTCTGCAGGAACTCCTTGGGTCTGAGAGCGCCCCCTGGAGGCCGCGCCCTCGTCCCTGGGCGTCTTGTGGGGGGGATCTTGAATGTCCGTGGGGGTGGCGGCATCTACTTGTGCTCCGCGTGTTTACACCGCATGCAGGGCCTGTCGGACGTCAAAATGTCCATCCTCTCGCACGCTGCCACCGCCTTGTATGTTTTGGGAGGTTCGTATGTTTTGGGGGGAGACTTCGACCTTGCCCCTCAACTCCTGTGTGAGACTACTCTTGACACGTGCACGCGAGGCAGAATTATTTTTTCCTAGTGACGTCGATGGCACCTGTTCCACCACGGGTGGAGTTCAGATGATTGATTTCTTGGTCTCGGAAGGTCTGGCGCAAGGGCTGAGCAAAGTCAGCGTTATCCAGACGTCCAATGTCACTCCCCATACCCCTGTCCAGTTGCACTTTCATCCCAAGCTGGCCAGACTCTATGGGCTGAAGTTTCGGAGCCCCCCCCCCCCGCTCCCGATCGACCCTGTCGGACCCGCCCCGAAACCACCTGACTGGGGGGGGCGTTGGAGGAGGCTTGCGACTTGGAAGATGTGGTCCATTCTGGGAACGGTCACCTGGTCCAACGTAGGCTTAACCAGTTGTATCAGCAGTGGGCCAATTTATCTGAGAAGGAAATCATGGGTACCACGGGCGCCACGTTCCCTTGCATCGGATCTAGGGGCAAGGCCCCCCAACTTCATTGGGTGCTCATCCTCGATCAGGGCCGTCGGCCACCGATGCGACATCTTGAAAGCTATGTGTTCAAATGGTTGTCCAATGAATTCAGGATGCTCGTTCTTTCTCTTCGAGAGAACCAGCAAGTGCAGGCCGACGTCCTGAGAGGCGTGCTCAGCAGCCCACCAGATTTTTGGTCTCAAGCTATCAAGCAACAGGAGAGGTGGCACCAGGCCATCCTGTTCGCCAGCGAGAACCTTATAGTACAGAAGTTTGACAGTTCCCACATTCCCTTGGACTTGATCCAAGGCGCCCAAGCCGCTGCTGATACCACCAGCTCTGGCGATCCATGCCCGAAAGGCGCCGACGTTTCCCTTGAGAAAGTGGAGGCCCCAGGAGAGGCCAGGCCAGCTGCAGGCTCGGTTGGGCCTAGCCCTGGGGACCGCAGCTTGGCACTCCCTCCTGGGGCATCGCTGGAGGGGGCGCGCTCGCCACGA